GCTAGCACTAATTCTTCTGCTTACCTAGGTTGCTGGGTTGTAAAAGTAGACAAACTCATTCACCGCAACAAGATCAGAACTCAGAATAGTATTATATATAGTAAACATAATTGTTCTGTATTTTTAATTAATGTTTTGATTTGTGTACTGAATGGAATCAAAATGACTTATAATAAAGTGGCAAAAGGTTTAATTTTGAAGGTAGGGATGAGTTTTATAAAAAAAAAAAACTGTAAATGCTAATGACAAGCAAAATCATTAAGTCCAACCCCCCTCAAAATATGATACAGGACACTTCTCTATCTCCTCACCCCCTTGACCTTTAACCACCAAAATTTAATAGCATCAGTGCCCCTTACATACAAGCTACCATGTCAAATTTTGTTTCTTAATCCTTACCCTATCCGGAGATACAAACACCCCACATGGAATTGTTTTGCTTTTTTTGGGTTCGGGTGATGTCAAAACAGCAATTTGCAAAAAAGCATAAGTTTGTTTTTGCACAAGTAGCATCGTTTACCATTGTTCAATGAAGAAAAATTTCAGTTCATAACCATTATCCATTGAGAACATGGTATTGTTTTATTTCACTATGACTAATTGATATATTGAAGTCACAAATCTTTCAAATTGGTCATTGTTTAAACAAGTGAGAAGTCTACAAGAAATTATTTAAAAATCCTAAGTAGGGTTTTTATGCTGGTTCTTGATGGCCATGAGCTCTTGATGATCACTCAACTCGTCAAATTATAAGTGCTACATCAGCATGACAATGCTCCAGTTGTACGGTTTGGATAGTGGAGTTCGAGGACAAAAGGATAGAAATAATGAAATAGCTGCCCTCTCACCAGATTTAAATCCCATAGTGAATGTTTGGGAATGTTACTACATATACAATGGTGCCTCGTACTTTGAATAAATTCATTCCAGGAAGAGATCCAAATTCTGAAGCAATTTTTCCAATTAGAAATAATGGAAAGTCAATTAATTCATTTCCACATTATCCACGTTACCCATTTTGATAAACTTAAAACATCAAATACACGTAATTTAAGGTAAAAATAACAATTAAATAGACTAATAATAAATTAAAACACAAAAACAATAAATAAAATACATAAATAATGCATAATAAAATGAAACTTGCATTTTACTGGTCACACACTATAGACTTTGACATCTTAAACAGGGCCACCAGATCTGCAACGAGTGTACCACTTTCACACTTTGCAATAAGTTTCTTTTTCATTTCAATCATTACTATTACAACCTTCTTCTTAGACATTGCTACTACACACTTCTTTGATGCCATGGTTAATAAGTAAAGGTTATATTGGATTAAACAGAAGTTTTTGCATATTTTTAACAAAGATGAGTGATTTTAATTATAAGAGTTGTAAAATTTAACACAATATTGCTAATATTGTATTCTTTGTTAATAAGCTTATTTTAATTTCTTTATTTTACATTTTGTTTGAATAAATTCAAGTTGAAATGTCTTCAGATAAAAAGCATATCAAGCATACAGTAGTACCTCAGGATATGAACGCTCCAGCATACGACATGAAATTCAAACCTATTTTTGCTCCACGATACGAACAAAAACTCACCATACAATGTTACATTAGTTTGCAGCGCCACCACCATGATCACATGTTCCCTCTGTTCATCAGTCTCAGTCCGCGTGTTTGCTTTGTCGTGGAAGGATCTTGCTCGATAAAGGAAATCTTGAGGTATTATCAGAAAGTGTCTGATTTTATTGAAAAGAAACATCCCGAAAAGATTGACACTGGCCGTATTGCTGCTCGGAGTAATGACATTTGCCTAAGTCATTTTAGAAACATTTTAAAAAGTAGGCAAAGCCAAACCTCTTTGGATAGATATTTTACCAAGCGACCTCTATCCAGTGAAGGTGCTGGTGGAAGGAAAGGAAAGAAAGCAAAAAGCAGTGAATAAAAAATTTAAAAAAAAATATATAAAACAGAAAAGTTAAAAAATTAGTGTTATGTTATTGTTATATTATGTTATTTAAGTTAAGTTTTAGTATCATTTCCC